TGATTCACCCATAGAAGGTAATTAGTAGAGGAGAGGCGGATTGTGATGAGGTAAAGGATGGTGTTCATGGGAAGGGTGGTAACATTGGGGTTGGATGTTGACATGATGAGGCAATGGTGGTGATGAAATTTTGATAAGAGGGGAAGAAGAAAACAGAAAAGAAGAGAATAGGAGAGGAGAAAAGAAATCAAAAGTTTAATGAGTGAGAGGAATGGAGGAGTTAGCTCTTGATACCATGTGTAAATGAATCTCCATATCAAAAGACATGGGGTTATGCTCATTATATATTGGAGATAATTACATATAACCCCCACAAAGAATACAAAGAGACATACAATAACTACATAAAACCTACACAAAAAATACAAAGAGACATACAAATAAATGTAATCTAATACTTTTCCTTTTTTCTACTAATTTTCCTAGTTGCTAAATGAAGACAAGTGTCAAAATCAGAGGAATTAATTAAGAAAGAGAATTGTTGAAGTCCACATGTCATGATTTTATAAAAATATAAGTGGATATTATTATTATTATTATTATTATTATTATTATTATTATTACTATTATTATTATTATTATAGAGTTCCATATATTGAATAGCAACTAACTTTACCATCTCATTCAACTTGCTTATTAAACTCTCCACTATAAATGCTTTAAATGAACATATTTTTTTGGAACTGAAAAATATATTAAAATAAAAAAGCTCCAATCTAGATAGAAGCTAAGAGAGGAGTATAACAAAGTACATGGACATCACCAAAAGTTCAAATACAAATAAAAGGATCAATACACCATTCATTCCAATTCACATTCCCTCCTGTCTTTCTTCTGTACTTGATCCATATGACCACCATTGATTTTACCATGTATGTTACCTTAGTAGGTGATATTCTCTAGTTTTGAAAGATTCTATCATTTCTAGCCTTCCAAATACACCACAGCGCACCATAGTAGATGACTAGAAAAAGTCTTCTCTTTTTTGGGCAGTTCCCCTAACCTGCTACGAAATCTAGGATTTTCACCATGTTAGTGAAACAAGTTGCATATATGCCACATCACTTGAAAATCCATTCCATCACGATCTTCACAAAACAACATTTAACTAAGATATGGTCTCCATATTCCTCGTCGTGATTGCAGTATCCTCAAGCAATGGATACTAGCTGCACACCCCTTTTTTTGAAGTGCTATTGCAGATGGGATTCTTCCTATTTTAGCTCTCCAAATAAATCATAAAATTTTGTTTAGAAATTCCTTTGCCCATTCAATTTTGTCTGAGTTTACAGGAGTAGATTAGTCAATTAACTTTCTCGGTTTATGAACCAAGAATATCCAATCAGAGGACAAATTACATCTCCAACCTACATTTTGTGCACTACTTGTTTTCTTAAGGACATTGAAGAGGGGTATTCCAAGTTTCAACAACTCCCTTTTTAATCCAACAATGTTTTTCCAAAAACCAGTGATATGCTTATTTGCATAGTAACGTATTGGCTTTGAATGAAGGTTATGAATATAAGTAATGACCCCACCCTAATTCCTCTGTCATCTTTAGCAGCTATGATTTTATCCCACGATATCTAGATAATCTTTGTGATTTCATCAGATCCCCCCCCCCCCCAAAGAAAGTTTCTTCTAATTTTTTCCAATTGTTCTATTACCTAGGCAGGTGTAACGAACGGAGAAATAAAATAATTAGGATGATTACCAAGAACAATCGTGATAAGAGTAAGTTGTCCTCCAAACGACATAGTTTTCGGCTTCCAAGACGTAAGTTTCACAATGAATTTTTCAATGATGGGTTTCTAATTCTTCTTCAAGTTCATGTTTGCTTCCATAGTCACCCTCGGGTAGGTGAAAGGGAGGCAAGAAGTTTCACACCCAATAGATCTGGCCCAACATGACATTTCTTGCAATGTAGCCCCATTCCGAAGACTTTGAACTTGTTGAAGTTTAGTTTGAGTCCCGATAAAATATGAAACCAGTGCAAAATCCTAGCTAAATTCGTGATGTTCCTTTCTAACCATTCCCTATAAATAATGCATCATCTGTGTACAGTAGATGTGAAGTTAATGGCCCATTATCATGGAGTTACACATCATTGAAGATTCCTTTATTGCATGCAGTCTTTTGTGCCACACTGAGTTCCTCCATGGCGATGAGGAAGAGAAAAGGTGGTAAAGGATCTCCTTGGCGGACGCCTCTTTCCATTGTAAACTCTTTAATTGGGACTCCATTGACTAGCACCGAGGTCATAACCAATTTCATGCACCCTTTGATCCACACCCTCCATTTATCCCCAAATCCTATTAGGCTGAGATTTGAGTCTAATTATTCCTAGTTACTCAGTCAGATGATTTGTCGAAATCGACTTTGAATAGTAGTACCTTCTTTTTGGCATTTTTCACCCATAAGCATACTTCATTCACAATCAGAGGGCCGTCCAGGATATACCTACCTTCAACGTATGCGGAATGAACTTCATCAATACAGTGTCCCATAACCCTTTTGAGTCGAGAGGTTGGGATTTTAGATATGATTTTATACAAGCAGCCAATCACGCTGATCGGTCTGAAGTCACTGAAATTGATCGGGTGATTAACTTTGGGTATTAAGGATATAAACGAGGAGCTACATGATGGGTCAAGTCTTCCAAATCGTTCAAAATATTTTACAAAAAAGAGCTATATTTCCAAAAAGAACATCCTAGTAGGATTTGATGAATTTGAAGGTGAATCTGTCCGGTCCGGAGGCCTTTTTGCTTCAACATTCCCGCATGATAGTATTTATTTCCTCCAATGAAATAAGTTCTTCTAGAAATAACCTGTCAGCTTCATAAATACGAGAGAACAAGGGTTTGTAGAACTTTGGTATGGAAGACAACTTTTCCTTGAATTTGTTCTAAAAGAATCTGAAAGCCTCCTCTTTAATCTGATTTGGGTTTTTATTCCGGTTGCCATTGATCATGATTTCGTTAATGTTATTGATCATAATTCCGTTAATGTTATTTTTCCTGGTCCTATTCTTTGAATAAATATATAGAAACATCGACTCTCTCATGTGTACTCATGCATTTTTCATTTATTTAAGATTTAAGATGTCAATATTGCTATGGAAGATTTAACTCTAGTAAATTCTAAATCCATTATATATCAAACTGATACTTTATAATGATAGAGTTTTATTCGTTGAATAACAATTAACATTGGCATCTCATTAGTTCTCTTTTTTTTAATCGACAAATATAACCTACTCCTAAACTATTCATTAAGTCCACTTATTTCCACAACATGACTTGAACCCTTAACCTCAAAAAGGAATGACAACATCAACTCTCCGCTCTAAACACACACTCTCTCTCTCTCTCTCTCTCTCTCTCTCTCTATATATATATATATATATATATATATATATATATATATATATATATATATATATATATATATATATAAGTGAATATACCCTTAAGGGTATATAAGCTTACGTACCCAAATATGCGATAATACATCGTTTTATTTGATATATTCATTATAATATTGTTAAACTTTAACCCTAACTTAATTTGCTTTCAAGATATTCGAAATTTCACTATTATTATTCTCTTACATCACATATTTTTGCCGAACACATACTAGGCTATGTATATTGTAGTTGAAAATGAAAATTATATAAGAGGAAGATAAATGTGTAAATTATAAAAATATTGGAAGTAAATCAAATTAGAAGTTAAATTATAATAACATTGGACAATTAAAATGTATTATATGATACAAAACGATGTGGTATGGTGATTTTGGGTACCTAAGCTTATATGCCCTTAAAGGTATATTCATTTTTCCATATATATATATATATATATATATATATATATATATATATATATATATATATATATATATATATATATATATATATATATATATATATATATATGAACATCAAGTCTATCATGTCTATCATGTGCACTCGTGCATTTAGCATTTATTGGAGTTGTCATTATTGCTATGGAAGATTTAAAGCAATCGAATTACAAAGTATCAACTAAAAAAGTTGCCTTTGAAAAACTTCTCAATAAGAATGTTACCTTTACAAGCTACATTTTTTTTTCAAAAAATAACCAATCCAAAAAAACGTCATTGATAAAATAGTTGTATTATATTTTTGCTGTCTGTAAGACTATTATCTGCTATACATAGAAAATCAGTAAGTATAATACAACGAAAACAAAATAACATGATACAACAGTAAACAGTTGCATGATATTCTATCTAACTGCAAGCGTTTATCCCTACACCGAAGAGCATGAACATTTTTTGCTTATTAACTTAAATAAAACCTATTATAAATATAAACTAAAACAAACTTCTTATATTTGAGGAGAGATATTGTAGTTAAAACTACATCTCCTAATGCATAGTATACAAGTATTTTAATGCATTAATTATAATTTTAACCCTCCAACTTTGTATGATTCATTAATTGTAATTCCTTTATATTGTAAAATTATATATTTGGTCCTTTTACTTTTTAAAATATCATTTTCATCCTCCTACCTTCAACTTTGTAAATTATCATTTTTTTCCCGCAACCCATCAATTTGGTAAAATGATATTTTCCATCATTTTACTTTTTAAAATATCATTTTCACCCATCTACCTTCAACTTTGTAGATTTTCTTTTTTACCCATTCGTTTTCTAACGTTTTTATACATCTTCCATCTTCAGCTTTATAAAATATCACTTTTATGTCTTGGTTTTCTAGACTTTTGTTTCTATTTCATTTTCATCCCCTTCATCTTTCAACTTTATAAAATATCATGTTTACCATTTTATTTTCTAAACTTTGTAAAATGTATTTTCCACCCCTCTATTTTTTAAATATTACTTAGACCTTTCAACTTTGAACTTTGTAAAATTTGATTGTTTAATTAATTATCACTCATAATATGCAACAAAAACATATAAAAACCTGCGGCAAAGCGCGGCTCAATTACTAGTTACATACATAGATCAGTTTAAATGGTTAAGTTTAACCATCGTACCAAATTTCAAAATAAAAAGGCATGAATAACCACAAGGAGTAAATTTGCATTCAGTTATGAATAAAGTTGAATCTTTGATGTTGAAACTGACTAGTGGATGAATAAGTATTGAAAAATTGTCCTCGACCAATCATTCTTTCATCATCGTCTTCATGAAATCCATCCATCTACAAATTTGACATGTAAAATACAACTATTACGACTTTATAACCATATCATGAAGAAAAGCAAATCTTTAACTATAAATGAAGTTAATATTAGTTAAATAAACCACTATTAGTCCCATTAATAGGTCGGTATCTCCGTGAGACTACAAACTTTTTGACTATTTTTATCGGTTCTTTGATTTTATTGAAGTTAAAAGAGAAAAATTAAAGTAAAAAAAATATATATTATGTATATTACCCAAAATTCCTCTTCATCTCCATATCGATGAAAAAGTGTAGTCCTTTGAATCTCTCCAGGCTCGTCATTGCGTGCAAATCTACCACGTATTCGTGGTCTGTTGTCCGCAAGGGTCTTCCGGCATGCATACTATTTTCAATATAAGCCAACAAACATTTTATTTTCTTCGTCTGAACAAAAATAATATTCTATATATAAATGTTTGATTATTAATGAAATAACTAAACTATCCCTTGTATACACAATTTACCTTAATTGTCTTATTGAAATTCCGTTGTGTCCTCTTTGCTCTATACCTCATGATCTTCTCTTTCCTTTCCTCTGCATTGTAACGCCCGACCTTAAAATTTGCTTCATCCATGAATGAACTTTCTGTGGCCAATGGACTAGAAGACAGCCTTTGACTTGTTTGGTTGATCTTTGGACTCTAAAATGAAGGGTAAGAATGTCAAAAACATATTTAATAACATAAGTACAAAATAAAACATGTCACTCTCTTTATTAGCTCTAGAAATCTATACTTTTACAAGGTCGAACATTATTGGCAGCAAATAAGTTAGCTTCAAATTAATGAGCTTCAAAAGACATGAAATTTAAGTTGGTATTATTTAACGTCAATTATTTGACATTTTTTATTATCATATAGTGGTTTAGAATCTCATGCATATTAGAATGTTTATCTTTGATAGACGAGCCTATAACTTAGTAAGAATATACGTGATAAGTGTCACAAAATTTAATATTCAATGATGTATTTATATTATATCCTTGTTCACAAATTGCATGTCTTATAAGAATTCTTTTAGTGAGTCACCATTTGATAAAATTACGTAAATTATTAAAATTCCCTTTGATAGAAAAATACGTATGAGAATCTTGTGACCTAAAAGGAATAAAGTTTAAAGTGTAGTTTTCAAGGAACATCTCAAAACTGGAGAAGAATTTCGAAGTAAATTAATGAATAGAGGACTAACTTGTAAATCACCGGTACTGCAAACCCTTCTCATATGGGAATATGAGAAGTTTTGATCAGGTGAGGTAAGGCTTTGGGCCTGAAGATTTTGGGATTCAATCAAGCCGTTAATTTTTGGTTCATAAAGAACACCATTTGGTTTCTCTTGTTGGAAAGAATTGCTGCTATAACTCCTCTGCATCATCGTCAATGCATGGTCAGACCCACCATAGTAGTAACTATCATACAAGGGTAGTTGACTTTCTTCCGTTTTGACATCCAAATGGCAAGAGTCAAGAGCCTCGTTTGAAGAAGTTACAGAAATACCCATTTGGTAAAGAGAGAGGTTTTGAAGCTGGTGGCTTGGTGGGGAGGAAGAGAAGATGGTGGGGGCAATTTGGTCAATTTCCTCGAATGGGGTGTCAAGATTTTCTTGGGTGGTCAAAGGCGGTGATAGTGGTGATGATGGTAGTAAAGGGGTATAGTTGTAATTGTGTTCTTGGAAAGCTTGGAGGATGTCAATGGTTGATGAATCATTGAATGGTGAAAATGGATCATTGAAGATACATCCATCAAACTCATAGATTTCAGAAGACATTGACATTGAAGAACTCTTGATTGTGACCGAAAGAAACCTTTTAATTGTTTCTACTTTTTCGAGAATGATGAATAAAATGATACCTGAACCGATAACCGTCACTTTAGAACACTATTCCACAGTCTGTCTGCCTCAAAAGTTCTTTCTCTATGAAAGATGAGAAGAGGTCGATTAAAAAACTCAGCCTCTTGCAACATGAAAATAATTAGAGACTAGTGCACGTCCACTATAAATATAGTTTATTTTTCTAAACAACACCCTTCATGTTTTTGTATATTAACAAAGTCTACCCTCATTTAAACAATTGACATTTTATTGGGGCTGTATATGAAGCCGGTTGGTTCGTTTATTGGTCAAAACCGAATCATAGTCATTAGAATTGGTTAATGTATCTCAATAACCGTTGGGTAACGGTTAATATTGGGTTTGGATAACATTTTTAATCGGTTAATGGTTATGGTTAACGGTTAATATCGGTTAACCATAATGATCAAAAATGACATAAAAATAAAAATATTTTTCTATAATAATTGAAAATAAATAAATCCACTATTATAAAAAAAATAAATGATTGTGTATATATAACTATATTGATAGAAGATTACTTATCATATCTAATTGCAAGTAATTTCCCTTTAAATTTTTAATTCTTAATATATTACATACTATATTTCATCCTACCTATATTTATTGTCCATTTTTGACTTTTGAAATATTTATTATTTAACGTTGACCTTAAATATAAGTTAGTTGATAAAACTTATAACAATGAAAAAACAGTTAAAACACAATTCATTTATATATTTGGCTTTAAGTATTATATATCAAAAACAAAAATATTTAAAGTCAAAATTAAAGAATAAATACGTCAATAGTCAAAAGTAGATAATAAATATGAGATATATGAGTATTTAATATTATATTATATTAAAAATATTTATTAATATTAATGGTTCGGTTCGGTTTTGGATGAAAACCATAACCAAACCATATGTATTCAGTTAATCAAAATTAGAAACCGCATCATATGTTTTAGTAATGGTTCGGTTAAAATGGTTCCGTTGTATTGGTTAATTTGGTAATGGTTCGTTTTTAAGCTAATATGTTCACCCCTACTTTTTATATTTCATTGTCATCAAGTGAAGGGTACCCAGTCCCGACTATGATTGAATTGTTCAAAAAATAAGTATTACTCCACTTTTTAGTTTTAGTGAAAAGTTGATTTTTAACGTTGAATGTGATATAAATGAAATTTTGATATCATATTTTCATAAAAAATATATTACACTGTAATTTTGTTTGAACGTAAGCAATATTACAAAAACAAAACAATTTATCACATAGAAACAAACTTTTTAAAACATACTGTTTGACCATTTCACATTTTAGTTATCGTCTGAGTCATGAAGTTTTTCTCAATATTGTGATCAACTACTCTAAATTGAAATCGAATTAATGTATTAGTGTAATACCATTTTATCTTAAATTAGGGATTTCAATTTGGATATATTCTTGGATCGTGTATATTCAAAAATTTTAATTTAACCCTAAGAGTGGGGTTACACGAATTATGATCGTGAGATAATCTAAGAAAACGATTATGATTACAAGCTTAATCAGATTCCCAAACACATAATACCTTCTTGTGCTATTGTGTTCTTGATAGACAAGTATGCAGAGAGAATAAGTGGTTCTATGTGTCATAATATTTTGCAACATTCAAGTCTTCTTCTGTTATGTAGAAGACAACAGTTATGTAGCGATACAACGTCCTTTTTAATGGAGGCAGATCTTTGGTCATTTGATAGGAAATTTTCATTTAACACGTAGCAAAACAATACACTTATGGACACCGATGCTCGGATAAAATGTCCATCATCAATATCCATACGAGAGGTAGTTAGCCTCACATGCAAGTGAGACATGTCTAGAATATCATACATTACCACAAATCCATAATGGCGTATTCGGATTACATAATTGGTCACCCAGGTCATCATCACATCTTAAGTGAATGTAAAACTTCATGAAGAATCAAGTGCAAAATATAGGTGTTTGATTTATAAGAACACTCGTTTAAAAAATCAATTTTGTGAATGCACACCATCATACTTATAATAATTACATAAAATAGATAGGAGCTCATAAAAAGTAGTAAAACTCATCAAAGAATAAAAAATAAGATATGAACATATATTATTCCTAATAACTAACAGTAACTAGTTGTAACACTTTAACTTCACTTCCCAAGTGATGTGGACATTTAGTAGTCTCATAAAATTAGCAATATTTCAAGTAATCTTTCATTGAACCCATCCTACAAAATATTTCCAACCTTTATCATCATACTTCATATAATACATAATGTTACTCAACCGAGTAGATTTTACAAAGGAAATCTACCCGACTAAGTGGATAATCAAGTCATCGTATTAAGCATGTAGTTATTTCCCCAAGTTGTCCAAACTTATCTAAAATCGTTCAAATCTTTTGAAAATATCTTATAATGATCTTGGATGTATATAAACATTCTATTACATATCATAAATCTCTTAAATACATTATTAACACTCTAATCTTTGATTTTAATGTGATGATTTAGTGGTCCAAAAGCTTGATTATAATTACTAGAAGTCACATAAACTCTAAATTGAGACATAAGATTATACTGACACTAAATTACCACTGATTATGATTTGAATTTACTTTTTAAGGTTGGTTTATGACTAGACTTGAAGTTCCAATAAATCTAGAACTACTTTAAGTCATGAACAAAGTTTAAAACTACATTGAAGTTTCATGAAAATTTTAAAACCTCAATTAGATCAATTAATTATAATATTCATAAATATTATATTAATTAGGTCAATATGAATTGTCTAAAATCTATTTCAAGCTAAATAATGTATCAATTTCATCTAAGAATCTCACATTTGAGATTTACTATTTCTAGCATTTAGAACTTCTAATCATGAGTTCATTCCAAATCTAGGTTTCAATAGAGGAATTAAAGCTATAATTGATTTCTAAACACCAAAGCGCTTGTAGGCAAGCGATATCAAGTTTTGTCCTCCCTCCTTGAGGTTAGAGTCAAGTCTTGTCGGGGACAAGTGTGGAATTAGTAATAGTTTAAGATTATATTAGATTTTGTCGTTATAAATTGATTTCTAAACCTAGAATCATAATCTACACCTCCTTGTTTAATACAAATCTTGTAATATTCCATGGATGTATAGATGAGAATTTAGGGGATATTGGGAGTTTTAGTTACCAATTTCCGTGGAGCTAGAGATAAGATTTTAATTGGATTGGAAACTTAGTTACTGATTTCCAAGTTAGACAACGATTTAAGCTTCCAAACTCTCAATTACACTTCCAATGATTTCCAAATCTATTGATGTCTTCACAATCACCACACTTCCACAAAATCTCTCAAAATCATTCAAATGGAAGAGAAGAGAGAAATAAAGATTTCTAAAGTTTGACCATTTGTCACATTTGTATCCTGTATTTCTCATTATTTAGCTACCAAATGTTTCTCACTCTTGACCAATTTCCATATTAACTAAGTTAACAATAACTAATAATTTTACTAACTAACATAGTCCCACAAGGTTAGTTAGCTTAAATAACTTGGTCAAATATGAAACTTTCCGACCGTTCTAAAAAAGTATGAAACTTTCCTAAAATAACAAATTCATCATTATAGTTTCTCCCATTTTCACTTTAATTACATATATAATTTAGTGTTTTCTCTAAATTTTACTTTTATTATATGTATTCTTTTTATTTTTGTTATTTTTATAAAAATTTAAAACTACCTTCAAAATGCGGGTGTTAGAATTACTACCCTCTTTGAAAGACTTTCTCCTTATGGACTCCACAAAAAGGTATGGATAACGATTCTTCATATACTCTTCTGTCTTTCAACTAACATGTAGTCATATAGAGTGTTTCCATTTAAAAAAAAAAAAACAATTCAATCGTTTTCCTCCTCGCCTTCTTAGTCTTTCGTCAAACAATTTATTCAGGTTATTTAATTACTCGGTTATTTGCATCCACTTGAATCTCACTTGATGGTACTAAATCCACCATTACTCTAATCCATTTCCTCAAATAGAATTCGTGAAAAACATTATGAATGCTTTTTTGGTCAAAAATTAATCAAGTGTAAATCAACCAATTTGTATGAGAGATTGTGATATTATAATCGAAACAAATGAGAAAATCAAGAGTTGGTGACACAAGTGGTTTACAAGGAAATCCCTTGATCCTTGCTAGAATCTCATATACAAACCTTGGGAGGTGATAATGATCACCTGCCTTGTTAATTTTTATTAATTGAAAAGATGAGTTACATATGAAATGATGAACATACGAGTACAATGGTTGCAGTAAGTCTAGGTGTGTGTTGTGTACAAAATACATGTGTATCTATAGTCTGGTCAAAGTAACAATAAGCCTAATATTCCTGGGATCCTCTCGAATAAAAATGAACACGTTGTTTTAACTTGGTATTCCCGGGTCATTTGCTTGATTGGAGTACTTCTTCAGTGAGAATGAGTCTCATGTTGACTAATTTTGTACATGTGAGAAAAATACTAGAAATATATCCATTAGAAATGTTAGGAAATAATAATAACAATGGTCAGGATCCTAAGCACTGTTTGGGATCCTAAAAGATCTTGAAGAACTGGGATCCTGAATAGGGTTGAGGATCTTGACCCTAAAAATTTCCGCCAAATTATACCTGTGAAATATCAATGTTAATTTCAAATATTTAAAGGTATAATTTTATGTAGATTGAGATAAGGTTTCAAATTTTAAACTGTAATGGATATAACTTATCCGTTTAATACTCATGCTATTGCGGTCAAATCACCCTTCTCTATCTTACCTGACATCAAGATAAATAGAGGTAAACGGTGTAAATTTTTCTTTACTTGTTCTCGCTTCCCTTTGATAATCTTCGGCTAACTTCAAAGGTAACTTCTTATTGCTTTCTCTTTTTTCTTCTCCTATCTCGATCATGGGTAAAAAGATGGCTAGCTCTCGAGCTAGCATTCTTACCCCTTCTGAGGATGACTTTACCGATCAAAATCTCCTCACTTACAACGAGACTTACTCGTTCGATGATGATGATATTGGGTTCCTGAAATCCAATGAGGTTTTTCCTATAAACATGATCTT